TATAGTGACTCAAAAAGAGGGATTGTTGAGTATGCACAATGGATATACAGATATACGCACTTTATTTTTAACTCGTATGCAATAACCCAAAGGAAGAGGAATTTTTTTAGTATATACAATTGGATAAAGACATACGCAGTTTATTTTTTCGTTCGTATATAGTGACTCAAAGAGGAGGGTTTTTTATATCTATAGACGAATATAGGTATATGCAGTTTATTTTTTTAGTTCGTATATAGTAATGAATCATATTTTGTTAAGATACGAAGAAAAAAAAAGGGCAGTGATGCGTGACTACACAACACGCACAGGCAAACGCACATGTTTGACTATTTCATTGTATATTATGATAAATAAAATAAAAATTTATTTGCCTAATAATGATCAAACAAAAGAAAAGCTTAGAAACTTTTAAAATTTAAATAAGAATTTATTATACCTGGTGAATAAGTAATTAACTTAATACAATGAGTTGCATGAAAAAGACTTTAACGTCCACGTAAATTAGCTAAACATGGAGTTTGAAGATATGAAGTTTCACTTTCTATATTATCCTAAAAGAAATCTTCGCATAATAGATTGCTACCATTAGCTGACGAGCATTTATAACAAAAAATAGATGATACTAAAAGAAGTTTACTTTTTTTTCTTATTTTTTTTAATAAAAAAATAAATACTACACATACCAACATGTATTATTGAAGTTAAAGTTAGTAGAAAATAAAAAAAAGAATAATCATTATGCTTTCTATTCTTTACGATCAAGAAATCATTTACATATATGTATTTGATCTTTATAGGCGTAATTCAGTTGCCAGTTCTCTTTCTTAGATTTCTATATGATACTAGTGATGATCAATGATACATTTTTTATGCTAAGAAGTCTACTAGTTGAATAAGATATAATGATAATATATGATGTATTTCTTCAATCAAATGACCGATAAGAATAACAATAATCAATCTAAGAAAAAAAAATTCGTCTGTATATCGAATCTAAATAATCAGAATAGTTTTTCTTCAGATGTCATTCTATGTTTTTCAAAAGAAAATAAAGATGCTATGTTGATAGAACATATAATTAAGTATTATAAGAATTATACAAATTCGAAGAACAAAATTTTACTGTTTATATAGATATAATACACGATGCATTTAATGATAAGATTATGAATTGCTCAGATTTAAAATCTTATCAAGTATATTTAGAATCATCATAAAAAAAACTGACTATCCATATTTTGTAAAATTCTATAAAGTACTTATACAAATGGCATTCTATTTCAGTATTGGTTCAAACTATGATTGAAGATTATTCGATCGAAATAAAATGAAAAAGATTCTTCAGTTAATTTTCTCTCAACTTGTTAACATAAACATTATATTCGTTGCTTCATAATTCAAACTAGATAATACGATAATGATATTATAAAAAAAAGAATATTCGTCACAGTTGATTAAACAAAAATGAATAATATCAAATAACAATAACCAGACCTTTTTTTCTTTTGACATATACACCGGGATAAGAATAAAAAATAAATATTAGAATAATAAAAGAAAGACGTAAATTAGAAGAGTTTCATCAAGTAGATCTCCAATTACTGTTAAATATGAAATGTGTACATTATCGGGATCCCGTTCATGTCTCCATATAAATATTACCATTCACTGAACAATATATAGAAGAATAGCAACCTATTAAAAAAAAAGAAATGAACTTGATTTATTTTTGTAAAAATAATAAAAAATAATTCTACTTGAATAAGTGCTGCTATTAGATAAAGAAAAATAAAAACAATTGAAAGTCAGGTTTGATCGGTTGCTAATCATGATATAATGAAAACAAATGTTAAATGACCTCGTATATCCAGAAATAATAAAACACGTGTTGTTGATGAGTTACTTTCTGAAAAATAAATATAAAATAATTGAAAATTCAATCAACAAGATCGGCAATATACTAGTTGAACAAAATATTTTATATGGATCAGGACAAAATTTTGAAGCATGATATTGTGTAGTATTTTGAAATTCTTCTGGTTTGCCTTGTTGATGAAGTGTAGTAGATAATCGACTTGCTTGAACAGCTACTAAATTATCGCCTACACCTAAAGATAATAATATTTATTGACAATTCTTATTTCATAACAAATAAATATTTACCATTCATAATAAGTTAAAAAACAGCAACACCACGGAGTGTTTTTCAACAGCAAAATCAAGTATAAGACTACCTGCACTATTTAAAAAAACAAATACAAAAAAGCTTAAATCGAATCCTATGTATTATTATTATTTACCTTGAAATAAGCATTGCAGCAACAACGGATGACTTTTAAATATTGTGTTATTTTTTATAATAAAATAATTTTTTCTAAAAATCATTTAACACGCCATCCATGTATAAGTATATCTTTAATCTATACATTTCTAAAAGAGATAATAATCCAAATTGGTGTTAAAATTAAAAAATAATTGTAATCATTACTGGTAACCATGTATAATTATCTAAGTAATATATGATTTATTATATAAATTTAGAATTTAAAAATATTCTTACCAATAATTCTAAATAAAAATCCATCGATACCAGTTAAAGTACCAAATATTGTTAAATCACCGAGTTAAGCAACAATTGATTTTACATTTATGTAAAATGACAACAACAAAAATCATGATTCTACCTTAAGAAATAAACAATTGATCGTTGATATATATCCTAATTTTTTATGATCTTTAAAGTGAATTGACGATACTATCTCTATTATCTTTTAGAAAAGATTGATTACAAACCTAATACTAACGAAGTAATTGATGCTGTTGAAACGCTACTATTACATAAAACAAGTGCATGTCGTAAATTAAAATGTCCTTGAGGCATACATCCCATAGCAAGCAATACAAGAGTAGCAAGAAAATCAACAATAATAATTCGTAATTGTGTTAAAATTATATTTTCGATATTAGCCTAAAATTATAGAAGTCTATATTCAATGCTTTTGAAATAAGTTTTTATTACATACTTGTGTAGATAAACGTGATGTTAATGTCATTTCTAGATTTCCTTTTAAACCAAGTAAAGCTGGAACAAGTATATAAATTTCAGTTATTTCTTTAAATACATATAATTCCTAAATAGAAATATAATCAAATTACAACATTGTATGCAATATAACAAAATCAATAGTTTTCTTTTTTTTAAACAGGTCTGCAAGTTGAATAAACCCCCTTTATCTTAAAAGACCCTCCTATAATAGAAGACCCTCTTGCAAAAAAAACGTGAAATCCATAATAGAAGACCCGGGTCCTCAAATTAAAAAAAATTTTAAGTTATTATTTTTTTTCATTAAATTGTCCATATTATTGTGTGTACTGTGCAACGAAAGATATAGAAGAATTGAAAATATAGTAATAGCTCGTTTATGCACATCTATAATATATTTTCTTCACGTGAAAATAGACACAAATCGACTAAAATTAAAAATAAGAGGATAATTAGAACTAAGATGCAGAAAAATTATATATAAATACACTGGTCCAATTTAACATCAAGAGCAACAAAAAATGAAACAGCTCAATTTGCATCAATTTGTGAACAAAAAAATATTTGCAGTTATTGTTTGTTTTTCTCTATTTTTATCAGAGTCGGAGTTAAAAAGGGTTGAGTTATAACTTAAGTTACAACTTTTGAGTTATAAATAATCAACTTTTTAGTCCAAAAGCTATTTTGGTTATAACTTTAAACTGTGATTATAAAATTTAACCGTGGTTAATGTAAGTTATTATTTCAAATCTGTCAACTCGCTAGAATTTCTATATCTTTAATCTTAGTGAGTAAATAAACGGAAGCCGTATTTTACAATATAGTTCATACCATTTTAGCATTACCTTCTAAAAAATTCGCATCATCTCCTGAAATAAAGTTCAATTTTTAATTAAGAACTATCTGTCAAACAGTGGCTTCAGTTCAGTTGCTCACTAAGGATAAAGAGAGAGAAATTCTATCTTGTTAACAGAATTGTGATAATAATTTATATTAACCACGGTTAAATGTTATAACCAATGTTGAAAGTTATAACTACGGTTGTAATCATTTTCACTTTTCAAAGTTTCATTTTAACTCCCACTCTGATTTTTATTTCATATTTATTAAATAATATAATCATAACGAACGTTATAGTCTGAAACTTCACAAAATGTGATATCGATTTTTGGCAGTTTACGCTCACAAATTCGTATTAGAAGACCACCCCATAATAGAAGACCCCTTTAAAAGTTTGATCCGCAAAATATAATAGTAGACCAGGGGGTCTTTTATTACAGAGGGGGTTTATATACAATACCTTAACACATTCAAGAACGAATCCAGCAGCAACCATACCAAATCCTGCTATCATAAAAGGAATAAAAACTTATCATGCCATAATATACCATTTTTCTTCATTATGATCAAATATAGTCGATAATGTTGTTTTGTTATATCGTGAACGATTTTCTATATAATACGAAAAAAATGGAATTCTACTTTTATATTAATATTATTCAACTTACGATCAGGAATAAGTATTTCAACTTCACTATCATTTGGACTTATATCTGAATCGGAATTATTATCATTTTCATTGACTATGTTTGATAATTCAATTGATTCCACTAAAATAATTAAAAAGAAATATATAAAATTGAACAAAAAAGTTAAACTTTGTTTTGGTGCCATTTTCTTCTAGTGACTTGACAATAGTTTGTCCTTTTAATAAAAATTATTGCTGATGTTGATTGTGAGCTTCTTTTATCATCAGTTTAAATATAAAACAACTATTGGGTATATCTATCGATATATTATAAAACAGAATGATAACAAGCGCCACATGCAATTTATCTGAATAAAAGAATAATTTTAGAAAAATAAATTTATTATGTTTTCGAAAATATACTTTTTATAAATATTTTCTTAAGGACCCTTTTTTCATCAGTTAAATAATAAAATCCAATCAAATTTTTCGTTATTTCAACTTTTATTGAATTTAACATAAACAATGATATTCAAAAATTATTACTAATATATTTATTATAATTAATAATCTCAATCTTCTGTTTCTCGCAATAGAATTAAGAGTGATCAAAGTCATTTATATTTTATATTTTTACATATACAAGGTGATCCAAAAGTCTGAGTACTTCTCAGAAAAAATTTTCGTTCTCCCTTATGGTAAACTCAAATAAGCTCAAACTTTGGTATCTTATTCCTTGCCACATGGCGAATATTGCCCTAAAATTTCAGCTCTCTATCCTGACAAATAAGGGAGATATACAGGCTAACATTTTCGACTCTTTTTTTCTCTATGTTGCGAAAATAACCACTTTTGTATTTCATTTTTTCATCACTTAATATGTTGTATTACAAAAACAATATATACAACAAGATGCAGCGTGAAAAGCTCTACAATCCACATGATACAGTGTATTTTAATTATATAGTTTTTGCTTCCATAAAAAAGCAAAAGCCTATGCGATCAATATTTGCCGTTGTAAAAAATCGTTTTTTCTACACGAAAAAAAGGTTTCTATTTTTTCTCACCCTTTTCCTCTTGTAATGAATTTTATTCAGTAAAAGAAAGATATATCACAAGATGCAGCGTCGAAAGCTCTACAAACTACATAGTACAGCAGATTTTAATTATGTAATTGTTGTCTTCAAAGAACAGCAAAACTCCGTGTTACTAACTTAAAAATGGATCGCACAATTTTTTCCTTTTTATTTTGCAAGCGAAATTACATTAATGAAATATATTGTGCTGTGCAGATTGTAGAGCTTTTCACGCTGCATCTTGTTGTATATATTGTTTTTGTAATACAACATATTAAGTGATGAAAAAATGAAATACAAAAGTGGTTATTTTCGCAACATAGAGAAAAAAAGAGTCGAAAATGTTAGCCTGTATATCTCCCTTATTTGTCAGGATAGAGAGCTGAAATTTTAGGGCAATATTCGCCATGTGGCAAGGAATAAGATACCAAAGTTTGAGCTTATTTGAGTTTACCATAAGGGAGAACGAAAATTTTTTCTGAGAAGTACTCAGACTTTTGGATCACTCTGTAAAATTACATGTGTAGATGAATAACGTATATATTTTTTTTTTCTTGAAAGATTGAACTAAATTACTTGCCAGAAAAAGTAATTATGATGAAATTTCTTATCATTCTTGATTATTAACGAAATATAATCACACATTCATAGTTAATGCCTTCAAATTATTTCATACATCACTGCTATACAAGATTACTTTAGTTACAATTACAAGATAAAAATAATATGTAATTTAAAAGTTATTTTTCAAAATTAATTCTATATCTGACGTTATAATACAGAAATAAAGATTCTATTTCTTAGATATGTGCCTGACTATATGATGTAATTATTTCAATAGACTACATCATCACTCGTCTTTTGTATAATAAGGAATATCTTGGAAACTATGAAGATAATAATCAAACGCATCCAGGTTGACCAATCCGATAAGTGCCTAAGGCCGTAATACATTATAGCTAAAAAGAACGCTCATAAAATTAGCAGCAATTCACCGATATTTTTCCGATGCAATCTAACACAAATTCGTCACCAGAAATCCTACAGCATTGCGTAGTATGATCGGATCCGTTATCGAATTGGTGAACCTGGGTAAGCTTATTTTTTCAGGTAATGAAAATCGTTTTTAATACAACTTTCGTACATCATACAATTATTCTTCGTCATATACTTTAGATATAATGCCACAGATAGTGACAAACGAAGAAAAATGTGCAGCTTCGCTTTTCTCTTCAAATTCGTTTCTTTACATACACTCTTGCTTCTTTCCGATAAGTGACTATACATACAAGGGCGAAAGTAGAATGGCAAGAATAATAAAACTGCATTAACGTTTGTTTGTTTCGTTGTCAATGCACTTTTTTTCATCAATCTTTCTTTCTCCTTATATTTGCATTTTAAACGTCTAACTATAAATTATCAATAGCGCTTCTTTTCGCGGATCGATTTGCAATAAACAGAAGCTACATGACTATTCTTAATAATGGCTTTTTGTGTATAGATTTAAATAAAAAGAAATTATTTGTCTTATACAGAATGCTTGTATACTATATACAAGTCTCTCAAAATATTTTTAACAGCGTTTTTCTTCATAGATTTTCATGCAATATGACTTGTAATGAACATAAGTCTAGTGGTGCATACATATATACTGTTGCAAGATTATTGCCATATTTATTTAACTACTTTTTTATCAACTACAATCAATATTTTCTTAGATAAGAACGGATAATGCAAAAGTTCTGCATAAATTCTGTTTTTAATATAGTTTTTCTCAAATTTTCAAGGATTTCTATCACCATATATAAACACTGTTTATAACAACAAAAGCATTCATGTTGTCTTGAAATAGTTTTTCTGGTATTCAGAGAAATAATAAACGGCACATAATGTAACAGAGAAATCATTTAACAAATTATTTATTTTAATGCAAAAACAAACTTTCATCATATGTAAAGTATATAGTTCTTCAGCGCCTCTTTTTCCAACAGAAATCAAAAAAGTTTTCACAATATTCTATTATCATAATCGAATTCATTATCTCTAATAATTAGATTAGCTAGAAAAGTTCTGTTCGATCTTACTTTCATCAATATTGGACCTATAGTACTTTTGTTATCTTTTTGGCATAATGTTAAAGCATGCTCTATGTATAAATTTCACAAATCTTCTTTCTTTCATTTTTCCATCATAAATTTCATACGTTTATCAAACAGTAATATAATGTTTAACAAAGAGTGTAAAAGAAAAACAAATCTGGTGAAAGAATTTTATTTCTCTTTCTACCTTTATTCGATCAAAAAAAAATGTCGCCTACACATTGGCAAACTGCAGTAATGGTGTAGATAGAAGCAAAGGTAAGTTGAAAAGGATAAACATAAAATGAATGCGATTGTTCGCTTCTGTTTTGTTCGTTCTTTCACAAATAATACCAACAAATATGCTTGTTTTGATTTTTTTTTGCTCTGCAGTATTATTTTCAAATGTAATTTGGTAAGTTTGTTCTTAAGCGATAAAAAAACCGCACAAACATTCGAAGTTGCCGAAAAATCGAGAAAAAACAAGTCACTGCTTATATAAAGACGAAGGGTGATCTTTCTTTTGATTCAAACAACAATAAATTACCATAAGGTGAGAATGAGCGGATCAGAATCATATCAAAATGCTGCTGCATCATCTGATGAATATAAAAAAGCGATTTCTTATCATCAGTTAGGATTGGACTATTGCAATCAAGGTGATTATGAAAATGCTATTCGGTATTATGAACAAGGACTTGAAATCTTGCAAAAAGTTCTTCCTTCAAATCATCCTGATCTGGCTACTTCATACAACAACATCGGTTTAGTGTA